CGAGCTCTCCCACCCGGTCAACACCCCAGGGGTTGAGACCTTTGCAGCTCCTCCCTCCCCTGCAGATTCTTTTCTGTGTCCCTTGCTGAGCACAAATCGAGCCTGCCTTCGGCTGCCTTGAGATGCGGTGATGGGGGGGTGGAGGGGGCTGGCACTCAGCTCTCACCCTTCGCTGGCTGGGGGAGCGTTCACCACTCTAAATCCTGATCATCTTCTTCTCCCCGCCGCTTGGGGCACGAACCTGCCTTCCTTCTGAGTGCAGATGTTAGCAGCTGGAGCAGTGGGGGCTTCTGAAAGCAGCACCCACTTACATGGAAATCCCCAGATGCCAGAGGGTGAGTGGCTCTTTATCTGGGAGCTAGGGAGGTTTTATGGCAGTAATATTTTCTTGTAATGAGATGAAGGGCTGGCCAAGGGAAGGAGAGATGCTGACGGGCTCCCCAAACCCTCCCACCCCCACGTGCAGATTAAAATGAGCCTTGAAAGGTTAGAGACGGAAGATGAATTTAAAGTGATTACAATCACCTTTTAGGAAAACAACTTGATCAGATATGAATGTAATGGAAAGTATAAATGACTTCAGCCCGTTTCCCCCTCAGGGACTTCAGCATAAAAGGGTTTAATGGTTCTTGGCATTTGAAGCCAGTGTAGGGTTGAGTTTGAAGGCTTCTCCCTGCAGAAGGCGCTGCAGGGTAGGAGCAGTTACTCCAGTCCCAACTTCTCCCAGCAGGGGGTGCTGTGCGGAGTCATGCTGGCTGTTGCGGGGAGCACCCGGTTACTCCAGTCCCAAGCTGTCCCAGAAGGAGGCGCTGTAGGGAATGGGACAGGGCATTGTGGGGTCGCTCCCAGTTATTCCCGTCCCAGCCTCTCTCTGCGGGCAATGGGACAGGAACTCTGTGAGGGGCTGCACCTTCCGTCTCTAAGCCGAAGGCAAACTTGGGCAAAGGAGTGTTGAACTCTGCCAGTCATGTACCGAAAAGACCACGCCAGGCCGAGCGACAGCACAGGGCCAGGTGCCAGGGAGTCATGAATTGCAAGATGACAGGCGTCTCTGGGAGCTGAGAGCAGACGGCTTACTCACATATTTTTCTCCTTTTGTTCATTCTATATTTATAGGAGTGAAACTGGCCATGTAAAACATCCCCAGATCAATGGTGCATTCTCAATAAATGTAACACGATGAGAAATCAATTGCTCACCAGCTGCAGCCCGCTCAGACCTTAGGTATTAATTATTTCTCTAGGAAAGGGACAATGCCAGGTCAAAAATCATATGGATATATAAAAATACAGATCAGCCTGGCTTAGCTTATAAACGATCCCTTAGATTGTTAACACTGAAAGCATTTCCAAAATCTCCCTGACTTTTTCCCCATGTCAGCACTTTGAATTTCTCTCAATGGGCCGTAAGAGTCATTTTCACTTTTGAGCCTAGTCAGTTTCACTTCCTGCTTCTAGGGATAAACCCCTGGTGCAAAGGTGGCGTCCACAAATGCTTGGTCCGCATCCCCCTTGTGGCCTCAGGCGCCCTGTGCAACCCCCGTGGCCAAATGCAATGATTGTGGAGACGGATTAGAAAGGGCATGGCAGAGAAGGGAAATCCGGAGCCCTGGCTCATGACACAAAGACAGGGGGACATTCAGTGAAAAGAAGAAAATGTAATAGGGATAAAAAATACAATTAGCCTGTGGAACTCATGGCCACAATAAATAGTGCTGAAGCCAGGTTTCAAAAGTGGTTTGGACGTTTATATGGATGGTGAGAATATCCAGATTACGGGAAGGGTTAAAAACTCAACAGCTTGGGAGGGATATAAACCCTCCTACTTCGCGGCTTGAGCAAGTGTCTAACCGATGGGGCTGGTGGGATAGGTTTTGTCTGAGGCAGGGTATCCCCTAACTGCCTCCTTTGGGGTGACTTGCGTCTCCCCCTGCAACAGCTGGTACTGGCCATGGAAGGAGACTGGGTCCAGTGTAGCAATGTTTCGGTCACAAACGTGTATTGCAATCTACGCGCGCTGTGGGCTGGATTCGGCTCCTCCTTCCACTGGGGCAAACCAGGATTCGCACAAGGAGGGCCGTGCTTGCAGAGATGTCGGCTTTCCGGTGCTCTTCCTCCAGGCCCTGTTTCCAGGATCACCAGCGGCCCAGATTGTCCTGCGAGGTTTCCCAAGCAGGAGCGGCAATGGAGCGTGGGCATGCCCTGACCGCTCCTCTGAGCCCCGGGGCTTTCGTACCATGTCAGGTTGCCCGCCCCCTCAGATGGACATGAGAGCCCCGCTCCCATGATTGCCACGGGCGGGTATGGCTTCAGAGCCAGCGTCTGCTGCCATGTGTCTGCTTTGTGCCATGCATGGGGGGAGCGCTGCAGTGATTTACGAGGGGGCTGTTCCAGCGGGGAGGGATGTGTGTGTCACGTGTGATGTCTCCAGCGCCCTTTTGATTGCACTAGTGCGCTGCTGGCTCGCCCAGCCCTCCAGACGTGTGAGACGTTAACGCCGGGCCCCTGGAGAGCCTGGGGCCGAAGCAGAAGGCTCCTGGCTAGAGTCAGCACCATTTGGGAGGAGGAGACTAGAGTTTCCGGCCAGAAGGGATCATCGCATCATGTGGCGTGACCCCTTGGCCCGTTGCTCTGTATGTGTACAGCACCTCGCACAACGGGGTCCTGGCTCAGGGCTGGGGCTTCCAGGGGCTGAGTTAATACATATAATAACTCGTCTGCATTGTCACAGCTGCGTTCCAGGCCCGTGAATGTCACCCGCTACCCCCATGTTGAGCCCGGTGACACTAATTAGCCCAAAGCATTTCAGGCCTCAGGAGACGGAGCTGTGGTGTGCCACAGGCGGAGACTAGGCGGCACCGAGGGGCACCAATGCCCGAGCCCCTGCAGCGGCAGGGAATTGACTCGGTGAGACATGTCCACGTGGCACCTGCCACCTGTGCAGCAAACAGGCTTTTCCCATGGCTAGGGGAGCTCACGGACGGTGCCAGGACTGCGCGGCAGGGACCCCGGGGGCAGAGAGGTTTGTAATGCGATGCTGACAGGCACTGACAGCCAGCAGCCCGCTTGCTAATGGCCTCCTGCGGTTCCTTCCAGACGGCTCAGGTCAGGCCGGGGAATCGGGAGTCCAACAGCGCCGTCGGATGGTGACAGCTCCGCGGCATCTCCTGTCGGGGACGGGGTGGGCGGGTCAACATGACGGGAACTCGTTTGTTTCAAAGTGGCAGGGACCCAGGCCGAGCTGGAGATGCTGGTGCCGGGTAAAGGTGGGCACTGGGCCTGGCGCTGCAGGGCTGGGCATGTGAGAGCTGCCTGGTGGGTTGCAGGCTGGCATCCTGTTTGCAGTGCCCTGGGCTGTGAGTTACTGTGACCCAGACAGGCCACTGAGCCTGGGGCTGGGCAATCTGTTACCTGTGCCCTGCTGGATAGATCCATCTCCATCCTGAACCCGGCAGTGCGATCACAGACACTGTGGGTCTCTGAGCAGAGGGGGGCATTTCGTTTGGAACAGCCCCGCGGATGGCTCCTCAGTGCCCCACCCCGGGGTGCAGGATTGCAGACTAGCTTTGGCACGCTGCCGGGAGCCGCTGAAATCGACGAGCCGCCCGCCAACCCCCGGCGCATCTGCCCGAGCGGGATCAGCGAACTCAACCGGATGCCGCTGGTTCCGGCGTGGGGCTCTGCTCTCTGGAAGCAGCAGCCTCTTTGCTGCGCATGGCCGGTGCTGCGGAGAAGAATGGGAGGCTGGTCTAGCGACGGGAGACTAACGTGTAATATCCCTGGAGCAATCCCACTTGGTCGTGGCGCGTCGGGAGCGAGCAGCGGGAGGCGGCTCCGTGGTGGGCACAACTGCGCCGCCATTAGAGGGAATTGAAAAGGGGAAGAAACCTCTGTTTAAAAAAATGATATTCAGGTGCAGTTACAGCCAGGAATGTGACTGGCCAGACAGCCCCCTTGCTCTGCGCACACGGCCCTTAGAGAGCGGCAACTCCTTGAGCACGGCTACCCCCTCGCCCTGGAATATTGTGCATTTCCATCCAGTGCTTTGCAAACCACGTGGGGGTCCAGGGGAATGCAGCCACCTCTGGGGTGGAGGGCAGCAGCCAAGTGGAATGCCGAACTGCAGAGGGGGAAGGGCTATTGGCTCCTCCTGGGTTCCTCTGAGCTTGCTGTGAACGGGAACCAAGCTGGGTAAGCTGGGGAGGGGGCAGTGTTGCCTAGTGGGTACAGAGCCGGACTGGGACTCAGAAGACCTGGATTCTATTCCCAGCTCCTCTGGGTGATCTTGGGCAAGTGACGTCCCCCTTTCTGTGCCTCAGTTTCTCCAGGGGGATAGTGGGATCCATTGATGGAAAAAGCTCTCTGTTATTAAGCGCACGGCAAGATTGGCCACGACGCCTTCCCTGAGTACGAAGCTAGGCTGCTCCGATGCCATCTCGCGTTAAGAGGCCCCTTTCCTTACCTGCATCTCTTTGGCCCTTTGGCTTGACTTTCAGGAGATAAAATGAAATCCCAGGAGCAGGTTAGAGAGGTAAATCCAGCCCCGCCCTGAGCCAGATGGTGCCCCCGAGAGGGCAGCGCCCGGGTCACCCCTGGCCGGCGAGTCGTTCGTTTTCACGGATCGGCTGCTTGCGCGGCAGCTGCACGGTTAATTCCACTGTCAACTCCCTCGTACGGAGCTAATATATTAGAGTGGACCCCTTGGAAATCCCGTTGCTTGGGGCTCCGTAGAGAATCCAATAGGGAACAAGAACTGTGCTGTAGGGTAATAGCGAATTCTCTCCCTGCTGAAGAGTTCTGTAGGGTCGTTCCAAAGAAGATCTTCAGGATTGTAGGGTCCTTCATTCAGTTTCTGGAAGACCTGATCGATTTCCTCTCTCTTTAGTTCTGTGGGACAAGGGTAGGGACAAACCCCCCAGCCCCCTCGGGCCTGATTTTCCTCCTGCGTTAGAGCAAGGCCTGGCCTGTGGCTGACCGTGTCTGCCCTCTGTCTCCTCGCAGGGACGGGGACTCCTCCTACGAGATCATGCAGCTGGACTTTGAGATGGAGAATTTCACCAGCCAGGCCGTGACGCGGCGCATCATGTGGCACATCGACTACCGGGGCCGCAACCCGCCGCCCGACCTGGAGAAGGTGGTGACGGAGCTGACGGTCATTCAGCGGGACATCCGCGCCATCGTGCCCCTGGCCATGGTGAGTGAGCTGGGACGGCTCCTCCGCCACCCCCGGGGCAGGGCTGTGGGGGGTTCCAGATGGCCCCCTGCATTCCCGATGTGTAGGCACACGCCCCACACAACCGCACACACACACAACGGCACGCAAACCGGACCGCTTCCTCCACCACCACCACACACTCTAAACCCACGGCACGCACTCACTTTACACCTCCCACCCTCATTTTCGTGCATACACACCCGCCTGTAACACGCTGCACACACTCACCCCTCCCCTTCCAAATATCCAAGGGGACACACACACAGCTAACCACACACCTTGGCGTGTGCCCCCGTAACACACCCTCGCACCGCACTGGTGCTGGCTCAGAGGCTGGGCTGGCCTGGTGTGAGCGCCCGCCCTGGCCTGGGGCAGAGTCCCGGCTGGCCTCTGCCGGTTCCTGCGCGTTGGGCCTGGGACTGGCACCCAAACGCCTCCCCCGGGGCAGTGGTGTCTGTTTCCTTGTGGTGCGGGGCGTGGGGGGAGAGGTATGTCCAGCCACCAGCAGCCCCTGAATCCCTGCTCAGAGAAGCCGGACACAGCCCACCAGGGCCCCTGATCAGTCCCCTCCACCGTTGGACTGGTGGGGGACATGAGATGGAGGGGACACAGCAGGCCGTTCTGTCGGGGCTGTAACCACCCGCAGCTGGGGCCTGTGCTGGTCCCCGTCAGCAAACACACACGAGCTCGAGGGGTTGGGCCCCATCTTCTACACTGGTTTCTGCTGATGGCCCCATGGATGGGGAAACTGAGGCACAGAGCAGTGACATGTTTCTCCCGAGATCACACACGAGGAGCCAGCGGCAGGGCTGGCAGCAGAACCCAGGAGTCGTTATTCCCAGGTCCCTGCTATAACCCCTCTATCACATTCACTCACAGAACCAATTGTGGAACCCAGGAGTCCTGACTCCCCATCCTTTGCTCTAACCCACTAGACAACTCTCCCTCCCAGGGTTAAAAACAAGGAGGGCAGTTTCCAGTCGGTTCGGATCCCATTTACACCAGTAATCCTACAGGAGTGACTCCGGATTGTCATGGAGATCAGGGTCTGGCCAGTTGGGGTCTCAGAGCCCAGCTCCAGCAGTTTTCTAGCCCTGCAGCCAAAGCCCGAATCAGCCGACCTGGGCCAGCCATGGGTCTTTTATTGCAGTGTAGACGTGCTGCTTCCAAGGGTTGTGAAAGTCGGGGGTGGGATCTGCCCGCAGAGTCCTGTCCCTCGTGCCTGGGGTCACTGAGTGATGGGGGCTCTTCTTGCACTTTAAGATCTTAGTTAAAGAGGGTCTGTGCGGGGCAGGGGGAAGCTGAGCCGGTGCCCAGAAACTCTCCCGCTCCACGGAGCCCCGCCCATGGGATGAGAGCGAGCCAGCTATCCCTCCATCAAAGACAATCACATCACAGGCTGCCAGGAAGGCAGATTAGATTCCCTGCCATTTCATTTACTTGAAAGGTTATCTTTCCTGGCTCGCCTCCATCAGCGAGGCCCGGCTACGAAGCAGCCAATTTCATTTCTGTATCGGATTTCCATGTTTGCATAATTAACTGGTTTGCAATTAGACTTGCCCTCCATCCATACCGCTCTTGTTCTTTGAAGTTTTTAAGAGCTTGCGAGGCCCCGGGGGGTCTCCGAGCGAGGGGGTTGAGACGGCATCGCGAGCGTGAGCGGGCAGGACTTCCTTTGCCATGGCATTATAAAATAAAATGGGGCCCAGCGCCCCTAGCACAGCGCCAGGTACTGGGTGCAGTACTGACTCCCAGAGGAGAGCACCCCCTACTGAGTCACCTGCACACACACACACACATTTGGGGTCCATTCCTTGCACCTCGCCGGCTGTAGGGTGCCCCTCTGGAGTGGGGTCTCAGGGCAGGGGAGAGGAAAATGGGGGCTGGACACTAATGCAGTGTCCCCTTTGCCTTCCAGGACACAGAGATCATCAACACCGCCATCCTGACGGGCCGGACGGTGGCCATCCCGGTGAAGGTCATTGCCATAGAGATGACCGGCGTCATCACGGACGTCTCGGCCATGGTCGAGTGCAAGTCCAACAACGAGGACATCATCAAGGTGGGCCTGGCGGGGCAGGGAGGGGGCAAAGATTCCTGGAGCCATCTGCCCTGTGGGCCTCTGCCCAGCCTGAGAGAATTGGCTCGGACTGGCAGGCCCTTCACGCAGCCCCCCCAGCCAGCCAGCCCCAGCCCCACCTCAAGGCAGGAGCATGAGGCCAGGCGGGATGGAGGTGAAGGGCTCCCCCGACAATGGCCACAGCCCATCTAATGCTGGGAGAGAGCCCATGCTGCCGTGCAGGTCGCCCTGTGAGTTTGCTGCGTTGGGGGGCTCCAGGATCTAAGCTGTTAGGAGAAGGGCCGCGCAGGCCAGATTCTCAGCTGGTGTCAATCAGCGAAGTTCTATTGACTGCAGGGAGACTGTGCTGATCAACGCCCGTCGGGGAACCGGCCCTGTGCCATTAGCTTTTCCAGGCACAAAGGTAACCTAGAGATTGGGACCCGTGCATAGCCAGCGTGGTGACGTCTGCCTGAATCTGCAGACAGCCCCAAACAAGTGTTCAGAGCGATATTAACTTAATCCGTGCAGTGCAATGGGGCGTTAATTCTGAACCCTAACAATGACGCCCCACACAGCAGTATTACAGTTAACCCTTTCATTGATGATCCTCCTCACGGGAACATCCAGCTCAAGTGCTCGTCTGTTTCAGAGGGACGCAGGGGCGGGTATTGAGACGGGGATCAAATTGGGCCTCTGGGTTCGGCCAAGGTTGGCTGGGGTGGAGAAATGATGGATTTAACCCCTCCCCTCCCCCAGATGGAAAGACACCTCCTCCATCCACAAATATTGATATTCAGTTAACTCTAAAGGCCCTACCTCTGAAGGAGGATGGGTCTGGAAATAGACGTGAGACACCGGGACTGCAGGAGCCCTGCTCTGACTGGCTAGCTAGCCCCATACACCTCTCTCCCCCAGCAGGATCAGTGCGTGGGTTGGATTTGCCTGGCCCTGAGATCAATGTCTCTGGGTGGCTCTAAACCCACCTTCTCGCTGCCACCGGGGCAAATCCCATCTCCAAGGCCCCCTGGCTCCACGGCCGATGGGCCCTTTTCAGCTGGCTTGCCTGCTATGGCCGCAGGCTCAGGTGTTCCCGCAGCAGTGTGGGGACAGCTGCCCCCAGCCATGCGGTCCCGAGTGCCTGCTCCAGCCTCGCTAATCTGCTCCGGTGTCATTGGTTTGGTCCCGGTCAGTCCCATCCGCCCACTCCTGCTTTGCCATGACCCCTGCGGCCTCAGAGCCCCCGTGGGGGTGAAGGCTCCTGGCTGAGCTGAACAGCGTGGCAGGGCGTTCGCAGCCTGTGCTGGTGTGTGTGTGTGTGCGCGTGTGTGTGTGTGTGCGTGTGTGTGTGTGCGCTCCCTCACACAGAGCCAGCCTGGCACTCCGCACCTCTGCTGCCCGAACAGAAGTCACCGAATTCTGTGTGACAGTGACCCTGAGGGATCGTTGCCCCGTAACCGCCCGGCAGCCCCTGCGCCCCCTGCCCTGCCGTGTCCTCGCGCTACTGACCTGCCGCCTCTCGCTTTCATAGCATCCCATCAACAGGGATTGCTGGGTGCCGGGGTCAGGCAGCGCCACTCACGGGCTCAAAGCCCGGCAAGGTGCCCTGGAGGCGCAGGGGGTGTGGAAGGATCACCCCCTAAATACCCCCTCTGTGTGCCCATTGACACACTCACACTAACACAAACTCCTGACAACTCACACTCATCCTAACACGCACTAACACACTGACACACACACACACTCCGGCTAACGCCCCCTGCACATTTTCCTGTCAGGAAACACACTTGTCCTGCTAACTTATGCATATTCCTGCTAACACTCACACAGACACTTGTTCTGACACACACACACACTCCTGCTAACACATGTACACACACAAGTTCATGCTCTCTCTTTGTCCCCCCCCACACACACGTTCTCACATGGACTCACACTCCTGCTAGGTGACAAATGCCCCAATATTAGGGGCTTTGTCTTATATGTGCAACTCTCCCTCCTGAAAAAAAAGTGTCCCGATTTGTCACACTTGCTCTCTGATCACCCTAACTCCTGCTAACACACATATACCCACTGCCCCTTGACACGCACTTCACTAACACCGGCACTCACCCAGACACACACATTTCCAGCAAGGCGAACGCACGTCTTCTCACATGCGCCCACCCACACACACACACCGCTGCTGCCACAGACAGACGTCCCCAAACCCACACAAAGTCCAGCTACTTTGCACTCCACTTAACACACCCACAGGAATACCCACTGATGCCCACTCCCGGTGGCACACTGGGAGCGCAGATAAACACACTGACCCGCACTCCCACTACGATACACACACAAACACCCGCTCCCACTAGCGCATTCTCCCAGCCCCACACAAGCGCTGAAAACGCGGGAACTTTCCTGGAGCAAAGCGCCCGGGGAAATCAAGGGGAGTTTCCCTGCAGTGACGACACCGGAGTTTGTCCCTGAGAGATTTCAGACGGAAGTCCCGTCTGGCCCTTACTTGGCCGGAGTCCGCTCCTCTCCCTGCGCTCCCTCGTCTCTGGGATCCGAGTAGCCAGAGAAGGAGGGACCAAGCCCGGCTGCCCCTTTTGTAGCATAGGTTTCTGGAGCAAATCCCAAATCTGGGCATGAGCCGAGCGGCTAGCGAGAGTCCGGCCGCTGTTCTCGTGGCTGTTTGTGGCCAATTTCCTCAGCGGACCGGCAACGAAGGGGACACATGCAGGGCAGGGCAGAACCAAGCTGGACTTTCTGGTGTCCTTGTAAATCAAAATGAACAGGTGCAAATACAGTAGTGAGAAGGTACCACGCGGTTGGCCTAGGCAGCTGTTTTGCTCTGGTCACCAGTTAAGTCCCCTTGTTTGCCCCCCTGCTCAGTGTGTACACGGTCCCTGGTCTGGGCCTGATCCACCCAGGAGATGCATCTGTCACAGCCCGAGCTAGAGGGCTTCTTTCTCCAACCATAGCAGCTCATGCTCTTAGCTCTGGAGGTCCCTGGCGTACTCCCCAGGAGGGCGGCTGAGCTCTCGTGGAAGTTATGAGTGCTCCAGGCTGCGTTCTTGCTCCACCGAGAACCTTTGTAAGATGGCCGAAACCTGGAGTCTGCTGGACCCCCCAGAGGGGAGGAGAACCGGGGAAGGAGAGAGGAAAGCAGAAGCCAGAAGGTGTGTGGAGCAGGGATTGTGTAGATCGCATTAGTCTCCTGAGGGTTGTAATCCTTTGACCCAATTTCAGTTGCTGGCAGGAGATACAGGAGGTTGGGTTAGGGGGTTTGGTGGTGGCCCCTCTGGCCTTGGACTCTATGACTTTCTGGTAGCCCCTGGCCTAACCCACATGCCTTATGAAGCAGCACCCTGTGCACCTTCTCCAGAGGCAAAGGGAAGGGCAGGGCTGAGACAGCCCATTCGAGCCCCCGGGAACCTCTGTGAATTCGCTTTCACTTGACTGTAACGTCACCTCTGAATGCAAGTGCAGCCCCTCAGAGCGCGGAGGGAGCCAGAAGGCCGGGCAGATGGGTTATGACCATCCTGGGGCCACTTATTCCAACCAGCTCATCTTGCTGACAGATTTCTCACTGCGGGGCTGTAATTAGTCACCGGGCGAGCTAAATGAAGAGCCCGGGCCCCTCCGGAGCGCAGGGGGGGGTCACTCTCCATCAGTCGCACAGCCGCTCCTTGGCACCCTTCTGGGCATGTGAAATGCCACGGCTTCCCAGTTTGATTGGTGCCACTGCAGGGCCGAGGTGCTGGAGCCTTGGGCTCTGGCGTGGGGTTTCCTGGCTTCTCCTGGAACCGTCCTCTCTGGTCCTTCTGCCGGCAAATTGATTAGGACCCAGTCTCCCAGGATTCCCGGTAGCACTTGTTGCTCTCAGCTCACCGGCTCCCCCTGCTGAGTGGGGCTCCCATGTATTTGCTCCACTTCCAGTGTTGGTCCCCCTGCAGCTTTGATCGTGATGCCCAGGGGACACCGCAGAAGGGGGGCTTTTTACTTTGAGCCCAGTTGCTTAAGCTGACCCAGCAAGAAGTGTCACTGCTTGGACACAGACAAGAGGCGCTACCACGGCAAGGGAAGGCAGCTCCACGCACCTTTGGAGACCAGTGCGGCAGAGCCATGGGGCCTTTCCTCTGCTGCCAGACCCCGTTGATCAGTGGGGTCGACGGGAGTGACTGACCTCATCTGGGCTCCAATGCTGCGGAGTCCTGCCCCCTTGTCTCTGTCCTGAGCATGGAGAGGCCTGGCAAAGGGAAGTCAGGCACCTAACTCCCTTGGGCTCTGATACAAAACCCACTCAAACGACGATCCAGTTGCCCTCCCGCCTCACCGTTCCCCCTCCAGCCTCCCAGCCACCGGTCCTGAAGCCGAAAGCCAGATCCGGGCCACACTGTCTCATCCAGCCCCTGAGAATGCCAGCAAGGTCGGCGGGCAGGGCAAGGCGTGCCCGCCGCGCACGGCACGTTCTCCCGGAGAACCCCAGCGCTCCGTGCAGTTGCTGCCGGTGCCGCGGGGTCCCGCCTGCCCCGAGGGCTGGACTGAGGCTTGCAGGGGAGAGAGAATCACCATCCAAGAGGAGGCCGCAGGAGCACTCCAGTATCTAATGCACTGGCGGTCGGAAGAAGCTATAACTACAGGTTATCAAGCCAGTTATTACTGATAAGGCAAAATATTGTTGCTTTGAAATGTAAACGGCAAGTTCTCATTAGCGGCTTCACTTCCACCTCAGAGCCTCATTTCTTTCCAGGCGGGATCAGAGGCTGGAGTCAGCCAGCTCACGCTAACACTCCAAACCGCACAACTTCTCCCCCGGGATCTGCATTGCCGCACGGCCAAGGCTCTGTACTTGTGCTTCTCGGGCTCCCGAGAGCGGGCCCTGGGGCTTACAGAGCCGGCAGCCTCCCAGGCACGCAGGGGAGAGAGGGGCAGGTGGGTCGGGGGGCCTGGCGACTGCACCTTGCTTCGCACTCGCAAAGCTGGGGCGCGCACAAAGAGCTGGGTAGCGC